ACACACACACACACACACACACACACACACACACACAGATTCTCCTCCACATATGTTGGGAGAATGTAGAACAAGTTAAGGTAAATATAAAAGTTCTATATTGATTTGCGATGTTCACAGTAATAAGTTCACAGTAATTGAAAAATTAACTGTAAAAAATTAAGGAAATGCGTGCACCGAATAGTAGAGGAAGGAGCGTTCGAGCCGCAGCGAGACCCAATAATATAGTATACGGATGTTGGCGTGCGGCAATTGGAAGAACAACGCGCCACTGCCTGTGCTTATATCGCTGCGCTCTTATGTCTTGCCGCACCGCGCCGAGGCGAGACATTGGAACGCAGCGATGTAAGTACAGGCAGTGGCACATTGTTCTTCCAATCGTCGCGCGCTATATTACTGGGCCGCACTGCGGCTCGAGCCCTCTTTCTTCTATCATTCAGTGTGCGCTGTTCCTTAATCTTTTACAATGAATTTCTCGATTATTACTGTGAATATCGTAAATCGATATAGGACTTTTATATTTAGCTCAATCTGTTCTACGTTCTCACAAGAAATGCGGAGAAGAATCTCTGGGATACACATACAATAAAATGTCTGTCTATGTATTCCTTCTATTAACTACTAAACCTTTTTTGATACCAAATTTTTCGTAGTTACTTTCTAGGACTCTACAGGGAATATAAATTAACATGAAATTTGGACACCTCACTTCCTCTCCTTCATTTCGTCCCTTTGAAACTTCATTGATCTGAGTAATACTGACAAGGAGATGCCACAACCTGCTAAATCGATTTCTGAACGAGATATAGTACGTTCGCTAGCTGCGATGTTAAGCATCAATATCCTAATTGGGGTTTGTGCCAATGGGCCTTTGTTTGTGAGAAATTAGTATAAAGTTTTGGTTACGGGATTGTATCACGGATATGGCTGAAAATGCGACTGTCTTTCAGCGAGGCGGCGTGGCCGAGCAGATTGCGGCTCCCCCGTCGAAAATTTTTGAGCCGGAAGCGAGTGTTCGAAACTCGGCGACGAAGTTATCTTTGTACGGTATTTTTTTTTTCTTTTTACTTTAGAGCATGTAATTAATGTTTTTCAAATATGATATATTTGTTTTGCATATGTCTCGTTTTTATGCTATTAATCAGGGGTAATTAGGGAAGTGTCAGGCTTGTTTAACGCAAACACGAATATAGACACATATTTTGCATTGCTTACAATAAAGTATATATTTTAGTACATCACTTTCGTATGAAAATATTGTATACAACATTGTTATGTAACAAAACATTGTCATATAATAAAACATTGTCATATAATAAAACATTTTCATTTAATAAAACATTGTCGTATAATGAAACATTGTCATATAATAAAACATTATCATATAATGTTAGGTGCGCAACCAAGTTCCCGCTGTTTGTCAATAGATGACTCCAGCAGTAAGTGCTGGTCGATTTTGACATATCCAAAACGTCATGAACCAAGCTTAGACATATGGTAAACAAACCGCTTTGACACGTTAGTGATTTTGTTTTGGTGTTTTGGTTGTGTGAAAATGTCTGATTTTGTGCCAAATAATCGTCATTTGCGGGATTTGTTGATTTTCTTATTTCATTCGAAGAAAATGGCGGCTGAAGCGCATCGAGAGCTCCAAAAAGTTTACGGAGATGCTGCTCTAAGTGAAACAACGTGCCGTGATTGGTTTCGTCGCTTCAAAGACGGTGATTTCGATGTTGACGACCGTCCGCGTGAAGGAAGGCCAAAAACCTTCGAAGACGCTGAATTGGAGGCATTGCTCGATGAGGATCCGTGCCAAACGCAAGAACAGCTTGCTTCAGCATTAGGAGTTACCCGCCAAGCCATTTCCAAGCGATTGCATGCGTTGGGAATGATTCAAAAGCAAGGAACTTGGGTTCCTTATGATTTGAAGCCAAGGGACATTGAGCGTCGTTTTTTCGCCTGTGAACAACTGCTCCAGCGCAAAAAAGGAAGGGTTTTCTTCATCGCATCGTAACGGGTGATGGAAAATGGATTCATTAGCAACCCAAAGAAAAGAAAGTCATGGGGACTGCCCGGTCATGCTTCTACGTCGTCGGCTCGGCCGAATATTCACGCTGCGAAGGTTATGCTGTGTATTTGGTGGGACCAGGTCGGTGTTATTTATTATGAGCTGTTGAAACCGAACGAAACCATCACTGGGGAACGGTATCGAATTCAATTGATGCGATTGAGCCGAGCACTGCGCGAAAAACGGCCACAATACGAGCAGAGGCACGAAAAAGTGATTCTACTGCATGACAACGCTCGGCCTCATGTTGCCAAACCCGTTAAAACCTACTTGGAAACGCTCAAATGGGAAGTCCTACCCCACCCGCTATATTCCCCAGATATTGCGCCGTCCGATTATTACTTGTTCCGTTTGATGGCACATAGTCTGGCTGATCAGCAGTTCCGCTCATATGAAGACATAAAAAAATAGCTTGATTTGTGGATAGCCTCACAAGACAAACGCTTTTACCGTAACGGTATTCGAGCTCTGCCAGAAAGATGGGAGAAAGTTGTAGCTAGCGATGGGCAATACTTTGAATGATTTATTTGTAACCATTTTTTCACAATAAAGTTGCATTTTTATAAAAAAAAATAGCGAGAACTTAGTTGCGCACCTAATAAAACATTGTCATATAATAAAATATTGTTATATGATAGCGTATAAGTTTTATTATATGATAATGTTTTATTATATGATAATGTTTTTTCATATAACAATATTTTATTATATGACAATGTTTTATTACATGACAACGTTTTATTATATAACAATGTTTTATTATATGACAATGTTTTATTATATGACAATGTTTTATTATACGACAATGTTTTATTATATGACAATGTTGTATACAATGTTTTTATACGAAAGTGATGTACTAAAATATATATTTTATTGTAAGCAATGCAAAATATGTGTCTATATTCGTGTTTGCGTTAAACAAGCCTGACACTTCCCTAATTATTCCTGATTAATAGCATTAAAACGAGACATATGCAAAACAAATGTATCATATTCGGAAAACATTAATTACATGCCCTAAGGTAAGAAAAAAAAACACCGCACAAGGATAACTTCGTCACTGGGTTTAAACGCTCGCTTCCGGCTCAAAAATTTTCGACGTGGAAGCCTCAGTCTGCTCGGCCACGCCGCCTCGCTGAAAGACAGTCGTATTTTTAGCTATATCCGTGATACAATCCTGCAACCCAAACTTGATATTGTAATTTTTCACAAACAAAGGTCCATTGGCACAAACCTCAATTAGGATGTTGATGCTTAACAACATCTCGCAGCTAGCAAACGTGCTATGTCTCGTTCAGAAATTGATTTAGTAGGTTGTGGCATCTCCTTGTGAGTAGTTTTATTTATGGCGAATTCGATTGGGACAACCAGTGCATACCAGTGCACACTAAGGTCATTTTATAGTCCGTTCTTATATTTAAGATAGTCTTACTCGCCTCCGAATACTCCATAATCAGTGCAACTATTTGTATAACATTTGAAGATCAATATAAGACATTTTTAAATATAAGATAAAACTCTGTAAACACAGCTGAAATATAAAAACAGAGTGAAAAACATGAATCGACCTTAGTGTACACTAGTGTACATTAATGTTTTCAATCGAATTCGCGATTAGTTATTTATTGAGTGCCAAGATAACTTAAATTTCTACGCAATAATCTGCGATTTTTCAGGAAATTATTATAACATAATTTTCTGCTATTTCTCTTGAATATTTACGTAATATTTTAGAAAAGCAAGTTGGATAAAGAATATCGATGTGATGTCTGTGGCAAAATCCTAAATCATCCCAGCTCCGTCGTGTATCATAAGGAAGCTGAACACAACAATGGACGTCGTTTCGTTTGTAACAAATGTGGCAAGAGCTTTAAGCATAAACAACTGCTCCAGCGTCATCAGTTAGTGCATTCAGATAATCGACCATACGTTTGTAAGTCATGTAACGCCAGTTTCAAGACAAAAGCAAATTTGATTAATCATCAGTCTACTCATACGGGCGAGAAGAAGTATTTCTGTGAGATTTGTGGTCAACAATTTGCGCACAAGACTAGTCTCACATTGCATTACAGGTGATTATATATGTTGTTTATATCAAGAAATTTTTAATTTTACTCTTATTGTTATTGAGAATATATGTAACATACGCGCGACGTAACATGTATACGCATATAATAATAATAAGAACTCTCAAAGTTTCTCGAACGAACAAACTGCAAGTTTGAAAAACTATATTATCACATATGAACGAATCTAGACCCTCTTGTGAGTTTTTATCCTTATAAAAATTTGAAAGAACTGAAGAGGGGAAGACATTCATAGATACCGAATAGAGCTGGAAAGAACGTCGACATCATAGAAACATTTATATATGTTTCTTTATTAGTCAAGGTTCACGTGAGTGAGTTCGTTTGTATTTTAGGTGGCATACTGGTCACAAACCTTATACTTGCGAGGTATGTCAAAAGAGTTTTTCTCAAAATGGCAATCTGCAGGAACACATGCGTATCCATACCGGTGAAAAACCGTATTGCTGCGACACCTGTGGTCGCAAATTTACTACATCTTCCCAGTTTAAACTACACGTGAAACGACACACTGGCGAGCGACCTTGGAAGTGCGAATTTTGTGCGAAATGTTTTTTGCATAAAGACACATGGAAGTGTCATGTGCGTCGACATAAGGGTGAACGTCCGTTTCAATGCGCGTATTGCAATCGTGGATTTACGGAACAATGGGCACTGAAGAAACATTTCCGTTTGCATACTGGTAATTAAAGTATGACCTTAATTTGGACAACATAACATAAATAACTTAAAAATTTGAATAAACATTTCTAATGTTATATAATTTTAAGGAGACTATATAAACGCGTCGCATTAGATTTGACTAATTTATATATATATATACAGGGTGTTCAAAAAGTCCCGGACCGGTGAAATATCTCGAAAACTAAGCATTTTAGAAAAAAATGTTTCAGATAAAAGTTGTGGCGTTTAAAAAGATGTATTTACTGATCACATCAGTTTGAC